GCACATCACACAGGTTTCACCCGGATTGCGATCAACTGGAGACAACACAAGCCCTTCATACTTACTCTTCACCTCAAGAACCTCATCAATGCACAGTTCTCCCTCTACCTGTACCCTATCATTCATACACAACTGCACCTCCCCCAAGCTAACTTCCACGTTGGTCGACCTCCCCTGTTTCCAGCACGAGAAACCCTCTTCAATCTCCTTCTTGAAACTTCCCACCCTTCCTTTCTTCAGTCCCCTCCGGACGTTTTTTGAATTGGATAACATCTGGCTTACCCCCACAATATCACCAAGCCAACATCTGACATGCCCCTCCACGCGGGGCAAATCGTACCCTGCACAGGTACAAGCAACAACCTCACGAGATGCAAAATCTCGATGGTTGTGCAGCAAATCCCCCACAGTAGGATTTTTAGTCCAACTGATTCTGGATTTCCGCTTGAGGATGTCGCTAGTGCACAATGGAAGCCCCAGGCTATCGATCTTCCTATCGCACAAACGTCGTACTTCCACCAAATCCACCATGTCATCAAATTTCAATTTAACAACTAACTTACTGTAAAGATTAACTCCCGATTTAGCTTTTATAGCACCATACAAAATTCTCCTCAGTAAGTTACGTGTCGACTTACGTGAAAATTATTTCGCAGCTCCAATCAGATCCGTTAACAACTTAAGAGGAAAACGACACAACTGTTTTCCTCGTTCCGAGTACTTCAACAGAGCAAGCAATGCACCTTTCTGTCCCCTACACCCTTTCACCCATTTCTTAAGCCGCCACACCTTCCACTCCCCCCCTTGTTCTATCCTAGTCTTACAGCTTCGCAACTTCACGATTTTTCCTTCCAACAGCAATTCGGTATCACCGTACAGACGCCTGACGTTTTTCCAAGTCTCACCCAAACATTGCCATTTCGTGCACTTCAACGTAAAACACACATTTCCCGCTTTCAACAATTTATCCAACAATTTAATGATACTCACCGTCCTCCCCTCGTCATTATTGACAGAGAACAGCATAAGCACATTAGATCTCCCATCTTTCTTCTCCGAAAAACGCCTCCTTACCCCTCTCCTTCCGACCCTTCCTGTTTTTTCTGGATCCAGATCTAGTAGTCTTAGCCCCAAACACATTCAGAGATGGGGACCATCGGCGAATATAAAATTCTTCGATGGTCGGCAGTTCCTCCGTAGAAGCAAAGTGAATAGGAATCAAGACGTACTTCGAACTCCCAAAATTTTGCATCCAGCGATGAAAGTGCGCTGCACTATCCGATCCCTAATTACTCCTACCAAGGTGCTCCACCCACCTGACATTCAGCTGTCTCGCGGTACGCCCGATGTAGATCGCCTTGCATAACGGCGAAATGGCCACATATACACATCCCTCCGCCGACTCAAGAAACGAAGGATTCTCCTTACTAAGACTTACCCATCGTTTGACGAATTCTTCCCCCACGGTACAGCTTCACACAACACAAGCCCAGTGACCACCAAACGGAGTGCGCCTTCTAGTTGTGCACAGATACCAACGCGATTTGCTCTAAGACTCACAAGTTCTCGGAACTTGCACCACAACGATTCTCGATGCTGTCTACTTCATTCAGTCGCCGAGTTCTCCGACGATTCCGACTCGCTTTCACTTGACACTTCACTCTCTTCCTTACCTTTGTCTTTCTCCTGCTCCGACTCATCACCCCTCTGGTCATACGCAAGCATCGCTCTCTTCTCGGCCAACGCGATCACTGCTTGCGGCTTGCGAACATAGGGTAAACCTTCGGCTTTGCACATCCGTTGAATGATGTTGTAGTCCATGCCATCAAGGTATACTCTCGTGTCTTCCACAAACTTTGCCCTCGATCCTTTCCCAACTCCAGCACATGCACCTTTCTTGGATGGATCGGATTTCTCCCTCAGGCTTCTCATCGTAACCGGTTTCAAGCTTGTCTTCATCTTCTTATTCGTACCTTTTGGTCTCCCTCGAGTACGCGTCCGATGTCTAATAAGTGAAGGAGGCGTAGAAAGGGATTMTTCATYTGTTGTCTCCCTTTTCCGTATRTYCRTCYCGAGATTGATAGTTGCCGCCTTCTCGCTCAGYTCCTCAACCTCCTCCACCGAAATTCCCCATCCATCGAGATGGTACGGAATCCTCCGTGTACCACATCTCCGCCCTCTCATATGCCTGCCTCTCCCTTTATGTCGTTCAGTCTTCGGTGGCGGTCCCCACTGCGCCAACTGCTGTTGGACGATCCTCGACAACCGCTGTTC